CTCCATGCTCTCTCGTCACTTGTGATGAGAGAGCATGGAGCCGACTTCCCGGCCAATCAGGAAGCCGGGTAGCGTGCAATGACGCGCTGCCCGGCTTCCCGATTGGTTAGGAAGCTAGCAAATCCGGGAAGCCAGGCGCCGTGTAATGACGCAGCACCCGGCATTCTGATTGGCCGGGAAGCCGGCGTCAGGCTCCCTCGTCATCTCATGAATCATAATATTAAGAAAGTGACCTTAAAGCATTAGTTTGTATTGCTTTAGAAAAAATGTGACCTGTCCCTTTAAGAAAAAGTATCGGTAATTGGTATCGGCGAGTACTTGACCAAAAGTATCGGTACTCGTACTCTGTCTTAAAGTGGTATCGGTGCATCCCTAATATTCACCCCGCTGACTGTCTTCTGTCCGGCATTGCAGGTCTGCTGGCCGGGATGTGGGAGTTTCCCAGCATGCTCTTGGAGGAGGATCGCACTGAGAAGGAGCGGGCGGATATTTTATGCCGCCGTCTCCAGGAGTTCATCGGCCATCAGATGTCGGGGGAGGAGCTGCAGCTCGTCGGGGAGGTGAGGAAGCTGCAACGTGGCGGCGTTGTGCTCGGTTAGCTTTTTTGCCTTGCAGCACTGAGGGCCTGTGTGTGATCCCCATCCAGAGACACAATCTGCATGGAGTTTGTATGTTCCCCCCGTGTTTGTGTCTCTGTACCGAGGAGCTTACACTCTAATGTCCCCTCCCCCACAGTCACTTCTGTCTCTGTACAGAGGAGCTTACACTCTAATGTCTCCTCACCCACACAGTCACTTCTGTCTCTGTACAGAGGAGCTTACACTCTAATGTCCCCTCCCCCCCCAGTCACATCAGTCTCTGTACAGAGGAGCTTACACTCTAATGTCCCCTCCCCCCCCAGTCACATCAGTCTCTGTACAGAGGAGCTTACACTCTAATGTCCCCTCCCCCCCCAGTCACATCAGTCTCTGTACAGAGGAGCTTACACTCTAATGTCCCCTCCCCCCCCAGTCACATCAGTCTCTGTACAGAGGAGCTTACACTCTAATGTCCCCTCCCCCCCCAGTCACATCAGTCTCTGTACAGAGGAGCTTACACTCTAATGTCCCCTCCCCCCCCAGTCACATCAGTCTCTGTACAGAGGAGCTTACACTCTAATGTCCCCTCCCCCCCCAGTCACATCAGTCTCTGTACAGAGGAGCTTACACTCTAATGTCCCCTCCCCCCCCAGTCACATCAGTCTCTGTACAGAGGAGCTTACACTCTAATGTCCCCTCCCCCCCCAGTCACATCAGTCTCTGTACAGAGGAGCTTACACTCTAATGTCCCCTCCCCCCCCAGTCACATCAGTCTCTGTACAGAGGAGCTTACACTCTAATGTCCCCTCCCCCCACAGTCACACACTATTGTTATACATGTATGTAGCTCTGACATATACCGCGGCGCTGTACTGATCATTGTTACATTGTATCTTGTTGTCTCCTCTGCAGCTGGTCCATATCCTCTCCCACATTCATCAGACGTATCTGGTCTACTTCCTGTCTGTGGACTCGGCCGGAAGTCTCTCTGTAGAGGATGAGGAGCGGCCGGCCAGTCGCTGGGTGACCCGGAAACAGTTCCTGGATTCCGCTGTCCCCTCCGCCATGAGAAAGGTGAGCGCTCCTTCCTACGGTTCCCGCCGGATCCGAGGCTCACATCCTAGTCCTTGGAATCATTCCATCCTCGTCCCTGAAGACTCGCCTTGCTGCTCCCAGACTTCCTGAAGTACCGACAAGTGTGAAGAGCCAAACCATTCAGGGCCCATTCACACCTAGACATTGCGTTGTGCTGCACGCATCAACCTGCACTATGGTACGAGGTAACATGCGTTGCAGTAAGGCAGCCCGGTTATTATCAACACAACACCCAGTATATGTGTTCTGGTGCGCTGCACTTCATTGGGCTGTGCAATGCGTTGAGCTCTGTTAATGACAGGAGAGGACGTGCACTGAGGGATCGGCACTGACAGCTCACACACTGATTTCATGTCATCTTTATTATTTCCTCCCAGATTCTGCAGTTGTGTCAGAGTAAAGACCTGGTGAGCGGCGCCTCTGAATCGGTAAGAGATTGTCGCAGCCCCCTCTATCCCCTGCAGGGTGTCGCAGCCCCCTCTATCCCCTGCAGGGTGTCGCAGCCCCCTCTATCCCCTGCATGGTAACCCTCTATGCTCTGTAGGGTGTGGCGCAGCCCCCCTCTATGCTCTGTAGGGTGTGTCGCAGCCCCCCTCTATCCCCTGCAGGGTGTGTGGCAGCCCCCCTCTATCCCCTGCGGGGTTTTATTGAGCTGTATGTGTATTTCTCCATCTTACAGACCAAGAAGAGGAAGCGTGAGGTCAGTGACAGGCAGCCACCCGCCAGGAAGGTGAAGGCGGAGCCAAACAAACAGAGATCAATCCAAAGTTTCTTCAAACCGGCAAACAGGAAGTGACCGCCAGCCAGGAAAAGCGGCTCGTGTACGGTGACCTCTGACCCGGGGAACGGGATGAAGATGGAGGCTGAGCCTCTTCATTGTGATATTTCGGTATTATGATTTGTTTATGAAGAATGATTATCTGAAATGTTAGGCGGGCCACACACATTACAATCTACTGCAGATCTACCAACAACTACAATATGTAGTACAAGGCTCCGTCTGAGGGGAAATCTCGCCGTAGCGTTTTGTCCCCAACACCTGATGATGTGCAAACTGATTACTCGAAACTCCCTGCAAACTTGCATCTCCACACTATAACCCTTGGAAGCTGCAGCAGCTATCTCGGGCCCCGCCTTTATTTCCTGTCTCACTCAAGCCAATCGTTATCAATCTCCTCTCCTCCTGATCTTTTTATCTCTTATGTCACGTGTGGGTGTGATCGGTAGGTCTGGCGTCAGTCACTGTACTGCTCTGCCTGAGCATTCTATGAAAGAACTCCTTGGCATCCCTGCTGTGCTGCCGGCTTTGCAATGCTGTGCTATCTGCTGATCAGTTGCTTGATGACACTGTAGTATACTGATCAGCAGATTGCACAGCTAAAGTCTGCAGCGCCCAGTGGTCAGCATGGATGCATCTCTAATGGGGTGGCAGGGATGTGTTCTTTCATGTAACACTCTAACAAAGAAAATCAGAGGTGGGGGGTGCTGTAGTTCACTAGAGCCCATGGGCCCCTCCCATCAAACCTGGAGCGAGATTGCGCAATATATTGTAATGTGAGCGGCCGGCTATGAGATGTCACATCCCCTCAGTGTCCTTATTGAATTGTGACTTACTAGGATCCTCGACTCTCATACTGGAACAATGTATATAAACTCCCCGAATTATTGTCTGTGATAAACTGGGACCTCAGCAATGTAATTCATCCGCTATGGGAGCTACAAGTCCCAGCATGTCCTCACAGCCAG